GGCAGGTGGCAACTACGCACCAGACAGCCACTTGCTCACCCTTCCCCCCTCAGTGGGATGGGGAGGAGAAATGGACAAAAGGGGAAACTCACAGGTTGAGATAAAGACAGTTTAGTAAAACAACAAAGGAAATAATAACATTCATATAATAATGAATATGCAAAACAAGAAACACAATAAAATTTTTTTCTCACTGCCCGTTGACCAATTCGTAGCCAGTCCCCAAGTAGTGATCGCAGGACTCATGGATTTCGTGGAACTCCTGAAAAAGTTTGAACTCACAGCAAAGACCAAATTCATGGAAAAAAGAGATGATTCCTGCCCTCCAGCCAACCTCCATTCATAAAGTGAGCATGGTATATATGGTAAGGAATATTTCCATTGGCCAGTCTGGGCTCGCTGCCTGGCTATGCTCTCTCCCAGTTCTTGCACACTTGCTCATTAGCTGAATATGGGAGACTGCAAAAAATCCTTAATTTCTTAGCAACAACTGAAAATATCAGTGTTATCAACCTTCTTTTTGTACTAAATCCGAAACACAGCAGCTACAGGGAAGAAAATTAACTCTGTCCCAGCTGAAATCAGGACAAGTCCCCTCTCCTCTCTGCCTGCAAGTATGTAGCCTGTGAACCATTCAAAATTCAAGACCTGCACTTAGTGGTTGGGCTGATGATTTTCTGCCTTAATGTCTCATTTTCCCAAAGGCAGCAGTCTGCAGTCTGCAAAATACATCCAGATGGACCCACGGAAAGCAAAACTAATTATTCTGCCTCCAATAGTGGCACAAACCACAATGTCATAAGCATGAATCCAGTATTGAGACTAGGGCTTCGGGAAACTCAATTCAGACTTACCACAAACACTTGATTATTTAAAAAGAGGGTGGTGATGTTCCTTTTTTTTCTTTTTTAAATTTTCTTTTATTAAGGCGGATGTACTTTTAGGCAAGCATTCACTCTCACTTGATCTATAGGTCCTCTCAGGTCCACCTGGATCAAATAATAAATTGCAGTCCTTCCTTAATAGTTTCTAGTCTGAAGGGTCAATGTTCCTTACATTGAAAAGTACCTTGAAAGATGTCATGGAATTACAGTCTTCATGCCGTTTAAACTCTTTCAGCTGATGCGTGGATTAACTCAGTTCATTAAGAAATATTTAACCAACCCATTTGCACTGATAAATCAAACATCCTTCTTGCCAAGTCCTTGTGAAATATCAGATATGCTTTGCAATGTGTCTGGTTAGTTCTTATTTATACATTATTTTGCTTTCAGCAGATGTATTATCTGAGCTATTGAATACTAACAGAATGTATTGTACTATACTATGTGTGGATCACTGTGCATCTTTTGCTGTAGCACTACTGGGAGATTTATTTCAGTTAATAACTCTATCTGAAAGTCACATAGGGAGAAGGAAGGGGTACATATCCAGATTATTTTTTTAATTGACAGCTTTTCTTTGAAATGTCATATGTTTCACACCTCTCAAGTGGGGAAAATAAATCATAGTTAATACTCTCCTCTTCCGCTATTCCAAATGAGTTTAAGCCAAAAGCTAGGGGACAACTTTCATGTTTATGAGAGAGAATGCATTATCACAGAATATCACAGAATAGTAGGGGTTGGAAGGGACATCTAGTCCACCCCCCCTGCCGAAGCAGGATCACCTACAGCAGGCTGCACAGGACCTTGTCCAGGCGGGTCTTGAATATCTCCAGAGAAGGAGACTCCACAACCTCCCTGGGCAGCCTGTTCCAGTGCTCCGTCACCCTCAGAGGGAAGAAGTTCCTCCTCATGTTCAGACGGAACTTCCTGTGCCTCAGTTTGTGCCCATTGCCCCTTGTCCTGTCACTGGGCACCACTGAAAAGAGCTTGGCCCCATCCTCCTGACACCCACCCTTCAGATATTTATAAGCATTTATAAGGTCCCCTCGCAGCCTTCTCTTCTTCAGGCTGAACAAGCCCAGTTCCCTCAACCTCTCCTCGTAGGGGAGATGCTCCAGTCCCCTCACCATCCTCGTAGCCCTCCGCTGAGCTCTTCATCTTTCTTGAACTGGGGAGCCCAGAACTGGACACAGTACTCCAGATGAGGCCTCACCAGGGCAGTGTAGAGGGGAAGGAGAACCTCCCTCGTCCTGCTGGCCACACTCTTCTTGATGCACCCCAGGATCCCATTGGCCTTCTTGGCAGCCAGGGCACACTGCTGGCTCATAGTTAACCTGTCGTCCACCAGGACACCCAGGCCCCCCTCCGCAGAGCTGCTCTCCAGCAGGTCCACCCCAAGCCTGTACTGGTGCATGAGGTTGTTCCTCCCCAGGTGCAGGACCCTGCACTTGCCCTTGTTGAACCTCATCAGGTTCCTCTCTGCCCACCTCCCCAGCCTATCCAGGTCACGCTGAATGGCAGCACAGCCTTCTGGTGTATCTACCACACCTCCCAGTTTGGTGTCGTCAGCAAACTTGCTGAGGGTACATTCTAACTCTTCATCCAGGTCGTTGATGAAGAAGTTAAACAAGACTGGGCCCAGTACTGACCCCTGAGGGACACCACTTGTCACCAGCCTCCAACTAGACTCAGAATGAAGGTAGACAACATCCATGGCTCTCCCTTCGTCTACCCAGCCAGTCATGTCATCATAGAAAGCTATCAGGTTGGTCAGGCATGATTTCCCCTTGGTGAATCCATGCTGACTATTCCTGATAACCTTCTTTTCTTCCACTTGCTTGATGATGGCCTCCAGGATAAGCTGCTCCATTACCTTTCCTGGGATGGAGGTGAGGCTGACCGGCCTGTAGTTCCCTGGGTCCTCCTTCTTGCCCTTTTTGAAGATTGGAGTGACATTGGCCTTTCTCCAGTCCTCGGGCACCTCTCCTGTCCTCCAGGACCTCTCAAAGATGATGGAGAGTGGCTCAGCAATGACATCCGCCAGCTCCCTCAGCACTCGTGGGTGCATTCCATCAGGGCCCATGGATTTGTGGACATCCAGATTGCTTAAGCGATCCCTCACACAGTCCTCCTCAACCCCTCTTCCGCTATTCCAAATGAGTTTAAGCCAAAAGCTAGGGGACAACTTCATGTTTATGAGAGACAATGCATTAGGCACCATCATTTCCAGAGGAGGTGATATATGCAGGAGAAGATGATGGCTAAGAGGAGGGGATGAGCCATGTCTCACATTTTATGGAGGCAGGGACAAGAGCTGCAGCAGAAGAGTCTTTACATGGGCCCTGTTCACCCGGTGGTCCCATGCATGAAACCTGCAGTGGGGGAGGAGTGGAGGAGCTTGTCACATACATTGGCTGTGGGATGGGACAAAAGAATCAAGACCCGAACCTGGACAGCTGCCGCAGAATAGAATGGTCCCTATGGGCTCTGAACCAATCCCTAGCAAACATTAAATGAAACTCAAATAAAAATATTAGCTTAGAAACTATGACTTCAGCACAAAGTACACACGTATTTTGCTTTAATCAGGTGAACTCTGTCTTTGGTTCATTGACAAGTTCATCTTTTATGTAACCTTCCAAGCCATTGCTGCTTATGTCCTGCCAGGAAAGCACTGTCCGTTCATCTGCTGCTCAGGTACTGGTTGAGAGGTCATGCAAGTTCTTGTTCCTCATGGGATGCAGGTCATGAAAGGTCAAGCTGTGTCAGTTCACCATTTACTGCCAGAGCTTTTCATGGCTGGTTTCCACCGCAGTGAGTGGAAAAGACATCACAGAAACTCCACCTCGACCCTGCAAATTCTCCTTTTCCCTGTGTCACCAGGCAGCTGGAATTTATATTGTCAGTTGGGGTATTTTTCCATCATCATCATTTTTCTTTATGATATGCACTGTTTTCAGCACATATAAACTATTAACTTTTTAAAGTTGCTGAATATCTCTAGTTAAGGGCCTAGCCCGAGTTTCAGCAGGTCTATGTTCAGGTCCTCTTCGTACTGCAGATTCCTGGCTCAGCCTTTGGAAAGGCAGGGTGGGCACTCTGCTCTGTGATGATGATGTCGCTGTTGGGGACATCTGATAAAGTTGCCTCTTCTTTATCTCCCAGGGCATGGACCTTTCAGATGACCTGTAGTCTATGGTGGTTCTGCAGTTGGTTCAGGAGGAGCTCCACTGCCCATACAGCCAGCTGGGAGCAGCAATCCCAGGAGCCCTACTAAGCTCATCCATCCTCTTTGCAATTTGGCAGCCTTCACTCCTGTGCCGCTCTTTACCATGCCCAGTGCTGGGACAGACTTTTCCCATTTCCCGAGTTTTATCTGCCTGGCATGAGGAAGGGTCTGTTCTTTCTTAACGCTGACCGTAGTCTAGAGCTAAGCATCCTGGCTTTATTCAAAGATCACGGGTTATAGCAGCAACATAGTGATTTACTGTTGGAGTCACGGTACAGGTCACAAGAAGGCTGTTATCTGCTTAATTTCCTTGCCCTTTTGGAGACTAAACAAGCAATTTGCTGTGTATTGCAAATGACTGATGAACTCAAAATCTGCATGTGCGACCTGGGTAAAATTGCATCATTTCATTCCAGAAATGGAGGTGAAATGCTTAGGAAGAACGTGGAGTGATGTCCTTTTTCAACTCAAACCCCTCCTTCCACTGTGCTCAGATACTAGAGTGGCTGGCAGATGTCAACCTATGCACGAGGGCAAACAGCAAGAGTTTAAGCATATACATAGCAGCTAGGCTCTAAACAATTTCTGCATTTTGAGTTTGTTTGACAGAATTAGAACATGATTTCTTTAGTCCCACATAAATGATTACCCAAAAGAACACAAGCTGGAGAGGTAAAAAGTCAGTATCCAAACAAGGAGCTCATCCCTAGTTCGTTCATTCTTATCTCAAGCAGATTGATCAGTAATCTCATATCTCAGCAGGAGGGAGACACTACTGGCTAATTTCACCCACGTGCTTTGGCATCACAGCATATAAATAAGCATTGGTTTACAGGTCCAACATCAGGCTCTTCTGACACTTGACTTCTCTTCCTCAGAACACCATGGATCTCCTGGGAATGCCCACTATTTTCTTGCTGGTCTGTATCTCATGCCTTCTTCTCTTTACCACATGGAGAAGCATATCACAAAAAGGGAAGCAGCCTCCTGGTCCCATCACACTCCCCATTGTTGGAAACATACTCCAGCTGAACCCGCGGAACTTGCCTGAAAGCTTGAAGAAGGTGAGAGACTGTCTCCTTTCCTATGTTGTCTCCATTGCATATAAACCAAAGTCCAGTCCAGACTCTTTCAGCTTAATTTACGAGCTTAATTTCCATTGATCAAATGTGAGACTCAAACAGAAATGAAAGGTTTCCCAGAAATACCTGCTTCTGAAGTGTATATACTGCAATAATCTATATATCTAAATCTCAGTCCAAGTCTATATATTGCAAGCCTAAGTCTATACATTTGCAATAATCATACTAGTGATGAGTCCTGTGCTGACCTTGTGGCAGTACTGCAATTTGAAGTGGATTTGCTATCAAGGCACTGATGCTATTGCCATATTCACTGTACTCCTCCTGTATCCAGCTCCTCACCACTTTGGCAATATGGCCTGGCCCTTTTCTGGGGAGGATCCTGCTCCATTTTGCTGCCTCTGCTCCCCAGCAGATAGGTAGGCTCTCCTGGGAGTGGAAGTAGCGAGTGAAGAGGTTGAAGCAAAAAAGTTTGGAGGTGAACTGTGCTGTCTGTTCGCTCCCCTGGCTGATGTCATGCATCTGTCAAACAAAACCTGTGCATTGCAAGGCCTGTATGGGGATGAGTCGAGGGAGTTCAGATGGAGTGTCTGGTCCTTAGGGGATTGCAAGGGGAGGGTGGCAGATGGATGGGAAGGGGGGGGTGTCAGTGGGTTCTTCAGAGCAAAATTGTGGTGATGGCTGACACCACCGTGTGTATCGTCAGATGCACACACCCACCATAAAAAAAAAAAATGGGACTATATCTAGCTTGCTTTTACAAAGTAAGCTTGAGAAGAAGTGTTCCAGGTTGGACCAAGAATCCTTCTGCAATTGTAGCCAAAAGCAGATGCCTAGGAAAGAGTTCACGATTAGCTAAAGGATTCAGTGACTCTCTGCTGATACACTCACCCAACTTCCAGAAATTTGTGTCCCACAAGATTTTAGAGACAACTGTGGTATGTTTGTGCTCAAAAACCCTTTAGGCACAGGCTTACACAAATGTATATGATTGCTTTTTGAGCCTGTTAAACTGTTATCCACTGTGCCCTATAGAAAGGCATTCCAGACTGTTTTGTCCTATGAAAAACTATTTTCTTTTCTGGGATTTGGACTTGACAACTCACCATTTCCATTCATCCCCCTATTTCTTGTACAATTCCCTCTTCCCCTGGCTGTACTTCACAGCTGAAAGATCTCTGCACTGCTGCTAACCAATGCCCCATCTCAGCGATGCTGGGACAATGGCACATCACCCCTCAGATCCTTTCGCTGCAAGCTTCTTTTCACATGATGAACATTCAGATGTGTTGTTCTTTGTGTTCCTCTTTCCTACAGCTCAGCAAGAAGTATGGTCCTGTCTTCACAATATATTTAGGCCCACAAAAGGTTGTAGTGCTGTATGGCTATGATGTTGTGAAAGAAGCTCTGATTGATCAGGCAGATGACTTCAGCGGAAGAGGCAATCTACCACTGCTTAAAAAACTCTTCCGAGGCACAGGTACGTCCCTTGCAATGTCAGCATACAAAGCTGATGCTTTCAGAGCTTCAGGAACACAGCTGGGAGGGTAGTGGAGGAGGGAGTGGTGGATTCCATATGCTGCTTTCATGCATACAAATTAGCAATAAAAGACCGAAAGCCCAACTTGTTACTTGGACCCTTGAGTAAACTGGATGCCTGGAGAACTGTTTAAGGTCCCAGGGCGGCTTATAGAATCATAAAATGGTTTGGGTAGAAGGGACCTTAAAGAGCATCTAGTTCCAACCGCCCTGCCGTGGGTGAGGACACCTTCCACTAGACCAGGTTGCTCAAAGCCCCATCCAGCCTGGCCCTGAACACTTCCAGGGAGGGGGCATCCACAACTTCTCTGGGCAGCCTGTGCCACTGCCTCACCACCCTCATAGTAAAGAATTCCTTTCATACATCTAATCTAAATATATCCTCTTTCAGTTTAAAGCCTTGTCCTATCACTACTTGCCCTTGTAAAAAGTCCCTCTCCAGCTTTCTTGTAGGCCCTTTCAGGTACTGGAAGACTGCTATAAGGTCCCCCTGGAGTCTTCTCTTCTCCAGGCTGAATAGCCCCAACTCTCTCAGCCTTTCCTCCTAGGAGAGATGTTCCATCCCTCTGATCATTTTTGTGTCCCTTCTCCGGACCCGCTCCAACAGGTCGATGACTTTCCTGCGCTGAAGGCTCCAGAGCTGGACGCAGGACTTCATGTGGGGTCTCACCAGAGCAGAGTAGAGGGGCAGAATCATCTACCTGAAGCTGCTGGCCACGCTTCTTTTGATACAGTCCAGGATACGATTGGCCTTCTGGGCTGCGAGTGCACATTGCTGGGCCATGTTGAACTTCCTGTCAACCAGCACTCCCAAGTCCTTCTCCTCAGGACTGCTCACAATCCATTCTCTGCCCAGCCTATATTTGTGCTTGGGATTGCCCTGGCGCATCTGCAGGACCTTGCATCTGGCCTTGCTGAACTTCATGAGGTTCACGCGGGCCCACCTCTCAAGTGTGTCAAGGACCCTCTGGATGGCATTCCTTCCCTCCAGCATGTTGACTGCACCACACAGCTTGGTGTCATTGGCAAACTTACTGAGGGTGCACTAAATTCCACTGTCCATGTCACTGACAACGATGTTAGACAGCACCGGCCCCAATACCAACTCCTGAGGAATGCCACTTGTCACTGGTCTCCACTTGGACATTGAGCTGTTGACTGCCACTCTTTGAGTGCAACCATCCAGCCAATTCCTTATCCACTGAGTGGTCCATCCATCAAATCCATGTCTCTCCAATTTAGAGACAAGGACGTTGTGTGGGACAGCATTAAATGCTTTGCTCAAGCCCAGCCAGATGACATCAGTTGCTCTTCCCTTATCCATCAAAGCAGTAAGCCCGTCATGGAAGGCCACTAAATTTATCAGGCACAATTTGCCCTTAGTGAAGCCATGTTGGCTGTCACCAATCACCTCCACATTTTCCATGTGCCTTAGCATAGTTTCCAGGAGGATCTGCTCCATGACCTTGCTGGGAACAGAGGGGAGACTGACTGGCCTGTAGTTCCCCAGGTCTTCCTTTTTACCCTTTTTAAAAATGGGGGTTATGTTTCCCCTTTTCCAGTCAGTGGGAACTTCACCAGACTGCCACGACTTCTCAAAATACAATGGATAGTGGCTTAGCAACTTCATCTGCCAGTTCCTTCAGGACCCTTGGCTGCACCTCATCAGGTCCCATGGACTTGTGCACCTTCAGGTTCCTTAGGCGGTCACGAACTTGATCTTCTCCTACAGTGAGCGGTTCTTCGTTCTCCCAGTCCCTGCCTTTGCCATCTGTGACTTAGGCAGTGTGGCTGGAGCACTTGCCGGTGAAGACCGAGGCAAAAAAGTCATTGAGTACCTCAGCCTCCTCCATATCCCGGGTAACCAGGTCTCCCATTTCCTTCCAGAGGGCTCACATTTTCCCTGGTCTTCCTTTTATCACTGATGTATCTACAGAAGCTTTTCTTGTTGCCCATGATGTCCCTGGTCAGATTTAATTTTATCAGGGCTTCAGCTTTCCTAACCTGATCCCTGGCTGCTTGGACAATTTCTCCGTAATTAATAATCTGGCTTCACTGAGTGAAGTGCCTTTGTTTTCAGCATGTTTCAAATTCAGGCTGAAATGCTGTTCATTAAATGTGCCTCTAAAATCTTAGATGGGAGAATGTTCATTCTCCCATTTCTGAAAATATTGACAATATACATACAGCTAATGAACCAGCAAAAGGAAAGTCCACAGCACAACAAAGACAAGCTAATATAGGCTGTTCCAGTAAGGGACACATTCAAGACTAGGCCCTGAGCTTATTCACTAGGCCAGTTCCCAGTATGGCATTTATCTGGGTAAACTGTACCTATTCCATGGTACTATAGGTTCCATGGTATTGTCACTAATGATACGCTGTGTGAAAGCGCATAGCAGAACATTTGGGCAGTTATGTCAGTGCAAAGGCCATGTGCTTGTGGCCAAGCTCAATTCAATACCATTGTCACCTTCTTATTTACATCCCAATGTAGTTTTTCTGGGAATAAACTCCATTGTACTCAAAGCACTGTGATAGATGGATCAGATTTGTCACCTCTAGAACCGCAGAGATGCTGGGGCTTTGGGCATACAGCATTTGAGAGGTGTCCTTGCCTGTTGAGTACTTACTGTGTAGCTCCCATTAAGGAGGAAAAAAAAGAAAAAAAAATCTGTTTCCTCACGGAGGTCTATTTTTCCTTCCTGCGTTAGGCATTGTGACCAGCAATGGGGAAACCTGGAAGCAGCTCCGACGATTTGCGCTCACAACCCTGCGTGATTTTGGGATGGGGAAGAAGAGCATAGAGGAGCGAATCCAGGAGGAAGCTAATTTTCTGGTGGACAGGATCAGGAACACACATGGTAGGACATGGACTTTGTGCCTCCTGGGACACCCTGCGTATCTGCAATGAGACAACAAGGGGTGTAAGGCTGCTTCACCAAATCTGTGATCCAAGAAGTGGGCATGTCGCTGTTGTTTCTACTCCCTGCTACAACAGTCAAAAGTTATCACAGCTAGGAGCAGGCCAGTCAAAAGCACTGTGACAATATGGATGGATAAGTGTGTGAGATTGGTGTTGGAAAGCATCCTTTAACCTGTTCTGCTTGAGGAACGAGACAGAAAGTGGCAAAGGGAATGGCTTGGCCCCAAAGCCAAAGGTTTGGTGGAATTCAGCCATGGAGACAGGGCTGGACACTGCCAGGTAACCAAGCAGTACACACTTCCTTGCCTTATCTCCTGCAGCTCTAAGTAAACAGATCTTGAAGAAGTGGGTGACCAGAGAACTCATATACAGATATTTGGGCTTGAGTCTAGTCCATCTGAACACTAGACAACACCTCCCCATATTGGTGAGGGGGTGCAAAGGCAACAGGGACTATAAGCTGCTTTTGAGGGAAAGGTGTAAGGTTTGGTTTCAACCTATCAGTGCATTTTCTGGTAGTATATAAACCAAAATTATGTCTAAGTACCCACCCAGACAGTGGCACAGCACCAGCTTGGACCACAGGTTTGCCGTTCCACAGACAGCCTTCAATGTGTGCTTATTCTGCAGGGAAGAAAAAAGATGCTGAAGCAGCACATTTTCCCAAGAGCCACTAGAAAATTCAGTCTGACTTCACAGATAAACAGTCCTGCTGCAAATCAGAGAAAACACTCTCACCTGCATTGCTTTTATCCCTTCATTAGCACAGTAATACTGTATCTCCTATGCTCTACTGTAAGCATCTCTCTGGGTCATCTTGTTATGGCATCTTTTACTGTGCACTAAAAGGCTTTGCAAGCAAGATATATACAACTGAAAAGTATAAAGCAGTTATTTCCCCACTAAGAGCAAATAATACATAGCTAGGACTAGTTATCTACTATACTTAGCATTAATATACTCACCACCTCTGATGAGACACCTGCTGAGTCTTTGCTGGCCAGGGAGTCATCAGTCAGGCAGAGAAGGGTTGGTGCCATTGCTCCTTGAAACAGGCTGATCCTCAATGCTGCCAAGTTGCCATTTTCTGACTCTTTGTTTTCCTTTAGGATTTTATACCCTTTCTTATTGTTGTTTCTCTTCTGGAAACCTTGAGATGCATCCTATCACCATCTGCAATTACATCTTTCTTTTCTGCTTTTTCTTGCACTGTTGTTCTCTTAGAGGTTTGTGCAGCTGTGCTGTCAAAACTAGACTTCAGTCACAGCCATCTGAACCCCTAGGAGAAGGTTATACAACTAAAGTTACGCTAACAGAGTTCATTAACAGGGTGCAATAACCTGAAGACATGGCTTGAGGCAACATCCTTACAGTTCCATTGGGTTTTGGTAGGAATCTTTAGGCCATTTCTAATAAATAGTCTGTAAGATGGACAGGTATGAGTCAGATGAAGAGGAACCAAGCCATTCAGACCAGTGTTCTGTTGAGAACAGGACAAGAGATACTTAAACCATTCAAACAGCGAAATTAGTTCACTTCAAGTAGAGAGGTATAAATTGGACAAGCACTTCACCATCCTTTCAAAGGACTGCAAAACTCTGGGTCTCAAGTGGACACAAAACTTCCCTGTAGCATCAAAGGACGGGATGATGACTGAAACACTAAAAGCAAGATACCAGGGTTTTTTTTTTGTTGCAGAGCAACCCGTTGACCCTGGCATCTTCCTAGTCCATGCTGTTTCCAACATCATCTGCTCCATCATCTTCGGAGATCGGTTTGACTATGAGGACAGGAAATTTCTAAATTTAATTGAGTTGCTAGATGAAAACAACAGGCTCCAGAACTCCATACAAACACAGGTGTGTACAGTTTCATTTAATTAATCAATTTGTTTTTTATTATAATATTTTATTAATGAACATTTCAGATAAATTTTTAATTGGGGTGGATTTTCCTAAATTTGGAGAAATTCTTTTAAAGCCAAAAACGTAGTAAGTAACAAATTCCTGTGCTTTTTTCTTACCTTATAGAATTGCCAATCCATGTCCAAAGAAGGATATCATTGCAAAAGTTGCTTAAGTGAAGTCTATCCCCGAATACAGTGAAACTATAAAGTAAAAGACATTAAAATCCAGTTGAATAATAAAGACCTACTGTTCTAAACCAATTTAATTGCCCCATTTTCACAGTTACAGTAGGGGAACATTTTATTGTATTCACATTAATCAGAACATGCTTTTCCAACATGTTATTTTTACAGCTATACAATTTCTTCCCAACTATCATGGACTATTTACCTGGGCCTCATCAACAAATGATAAAAAATATTGAAAAAGTTGAGCAATTCACTTCAGAAATCATAGCAGAACACCAGGCAGCTCTGGATCCCACTTGTCCTCAAGACTTTATTGATGCTTTTCTAAACAAAATGGAACAGGTAATGTAAGAGTGAGAGATTTACTGGATTATAAGAAAACCACTGTTTGAATCCCAGCTTCTTTTCAGTTGTGGCGGGGCACTGGGCTTTTGCAAATACACAGGAGAACTTGCTTTTCTTGGCACATCAGCTTCATTCTACCCTCTCTATTTTCTTATCAAGGATCTTTAAACACAGAATTAACAGCAATAGCCAAAGTTAGGAAAGCTGAAGACCAATCTGACTGATATAATTCAATGTTCCTCCCATATTAAAAAAGGTTCATAATATTATTTCGTAAAAGTACCATAAATTCTG